TATGAAGGACATTTTTTCTTTCCTCTGAACTACTGCAGGGGGACCACAGAGAAGTCTGACTCACAATTTTGACCTTATAATGCCATTTGTATTTGTTCAGGCTGATATAAGATACACTGTTAGAGCTATTGCAAAAAGCTTGAACCTTTATGGATACAATTTAAATTTTAAGAAATGAACATCAATATAAATACACACATTTTAATGTAGATGTACATTCTGAGGCAAAAAGTATATTGAATACGGGACCTAATGCTTCCTCTTTACTAAAGCACCAATTTATGTTAAGATGGCAATGTGTGATTATAATCATTATACTCTGATTAGAATAACTGCAAGAGCAAGGCTGTAACTGCTTTTAGTTTTTTTTTTTTTTTTTTTTAAAACTATGCTCTGTGGACTAGATGAACATGATAAAGTTTATAACAATCCAATAACTGAAAAAAATGACAACCATCATTTCACACTTTCAATGAAACAGCAGCTCAACTTTTTAAAATCCAAAATTAAAAAATTTCATAACCCACACTGAAAGTTTACTCCAAGAGAATAAAAGAGAGGTTTCAAGACCCTGAATTTCCTGAGGGAAAATGTAAGATTAAAATGATTATAGTCTTTTATGGGATAAAACATGCAAAGAAATCATACACAACTGAGATCAAATCATAGTCATTTGCTATTTTAACCAATATTGATGGAAATATATTCACAGAATACTACAACCAATCAAATTAAAGGATTTTCCTTTCCCTTATTCTATTTAACTAATTAAATATTGAATGAGTATTGGCTCATTTGCTTTAATGAAAACTGTGTGTGAATCTGATGCATCATGTAGCCCTGCTGGTAATAAACAATTAAGAATAAAACAAAAATCTCTTAAGTAATTTGATTCCTTAGTTGTAAATTTTGCATATTTCAAACACAGTTTGGGTAAATGGGGTATTATGGGATGGTGTAACATCCCACAAACTTGAGCAAAGCACCTTGTGGACTGAAAAATGAGGTAACTTTTTAATTAAAAATTTACAAGTTTATGCAAGAAAACATTTCCATTCTTTCAGAATGTTGTTTCCCTCTTTCTTTTCTTTCTTCTTCATTTTCTTTGTGGGGGCTGGAGGGGTGGGTACTAGGGACTGAACCCAGGGGCACTTTACCATTAGTGACATCCCCAGCACCTTTTTGTTTTTTATTCTGAGATGGTCTAAGTAACTTAGGGCTGTGGTAAGTTGCTGGCTAGTCTCGAATTTATGAACCTCCTGACTCAGCCTCTCTAGTTGCTGGGATTGCAGGTATGTGCCACTGACCCTGGCTAGGATTTTGTTTTTTATTCCAAAAGCCATGCAGAGCACATTATATTATTTCTTCATTTTCAGGAGAACATTCAGATTACTGGTTAAGGGGGAGGGGGGTGCGAGGAAAAGATGCCTCTAGGTGACTATAATTCCAAAATCTGAAAACATAATCAGTCTTCAATTTTTTTGGTGACATTAAAAATAATACAGGTCAACTAATTCTACAGTAAAATATTATATACTTTTAGAATTTGTTTCTAATAGCATTCAAATTAACACTATCCAAACATTTCATCAAAGCACATACATTTAAAGCTGACTCTAGGCCACCTGAACACATTTCCCCCCCCACTAAATTTAAAATGTAGTAGTTGAACATATTTTTCACATTGATCTTTTCTAAAATAGTTTTGGTTACCCAAAATTCTTAAACTATACTTTTTTGAGGAGGAGCCTAGCTTTTGGGTTGTCTTCACAGTTATAATCAATGAATAATGATGAGACACTATTGGAAAACCTAACCTTGACTATAAAAGTTTCAAATTTATGCAGACATTTATTAAACAAGGACAGTCTGGCTACAGTATATTTTCAATACTAAAAAGTTAAATAGAATTGTAGTTTAGGGTGGCATTTATAGGCAATAAACTGAACTAACCACTTCCATCCAATTAGTAAAGCCATGAAAATGAGCAAGATAAATTTCCCAGAAGAAGGTTATTTCCAACATACACCAATGCATTTTAAGCAGTATAATATTATTTTCTATGCAATATGGCTTGTTTTCTCTTTTGTATTATCATTAGCCATTAATTCAATTTAAGTTGAATAGTAGTTATTAAATGTACTTTAATTTCCTACTTGTTTGCATAAAAAATGAGTGACAAGGGGGTTAGGAATCAAATAATAAATGAATATGATTTCAAAGTTTTTTGGTTCAAAGCCATAAATTAAGACTTTAAGAGAAATGCCAATAAAACATACATATATATATATATATATATATGTATAGTACCAGTACATTTTCCTAAAGTACAGTTATGGATTAAGTGAGTTCTATTCAGAAACAATTTCATCTATATTTTTGTCCTACAACACTAGACCAAAAAGATTTATATATATATAAAAAAAAGCTTCTATTGTTTTCTTCAAAATTTTCTTTGCTTTGAGCATTCCATGGCTCTTCAGAGGCTACTGTAAATGGCATTGCCTATATTACTCACTGCTTCCATAAGAAAATAATTATTTTTTCTTTATTTTATAGATAATGAAAGTTCAATTTTGCTTAATCAAAGTGATTATGGCTATAGGGGTGGTGACATTTAGAAATTTTCAGCACTGAAATTTGTATTATCTTTCTTCTAATGAATACAGAATATACCTTTAAGCATACTAACACAAGAACCTAAAAGTAAAAATTACATATTTAATCCTCAGTTTTCAATAGATTTTATGTGTGTGTGTATATATATATATATAAATATTTCAGGTTTTAAGAAATTAAATTACATTAACAATATTAAGTATATTCCCTTATTAAAAAGGAGAGTTAATTCTAAAAGAGTTCTCAAATGAGTTTCAATCAGCAAAATCTCAGAATTAAGAAAGATGCCATATTTGAACTTGCAAAAGCAAGTATATTTTAATTTTAACACAATGAAAATATTTTCCTTAAAATTTAAATTATTTGGGGTTAGGGTAGAGTACTTGCCTAGCATCTGTGAAGAACTGGGTTCTATCCTCAGCATCACATTGATAAATAAAAAATAAAAGTATTGTATCTATCTACAACTAAAAAACAAAACAAACAACAAAAAAACCCACAAAACTTTAAATTCTTTATCCTCCATTTAAAAATAAAATGTATAATAATCTCCTGAAGGTAATGTCTGTTGGGTTTCTTACTTCCCACTTACTAGAAACTTTGCTAGGCAATATGTGAACAGAGAGGATAAAAGCTCAAATTATTCCCTTGTTGAACTAATTAGCTGCTAATCAGACTTCTAAAGAGCAGGTATAATACAAAATTAAGAACTTATCTTAAATATGAATAAAGGCACTAATCACAAATTTACATTTTTCAAATAATATCTGTTGGCTGTTTATAATGAATAAAATCAATGCTTCAGTATTAGATATTTGCTTAAGTCAAGACATTCTCTTGGAGTAAAGGATGATCAGTTTTCATATTATTTAACAGGAAAGATCTGATGAAAACCTTTTAAAAAGTTTTGTATGAACATCCTAATTGAACTTTTCCCAATCATTGGCACAAAGTCTACCTGAATGATGACTTCCTCCTCAACAAACAGCTAACACAGATCACTTCAAATCCAAAAATAACAAAACGGTTTAAAAAAATTATTTAGAAAATTAAATAGCGAATCTTAGACTCTACTAGTATAGCTGTTTGACAAAATACAATCAACTATTAAAAACACTTTCAATATAATGCTGAAGTGGTAATATAAAAAATAACCATGTAATTTGATAGAAGAGAACTGAACCAGCCAATCTTATTGGATACATGAAGGCAGATAATTATTTCATAATACTGAAGTACTAAACATACTTTTTCTCAGGATAGATTTGAGAATTATCCTTAGTACTTATGGTAAACAATAAAACCAAGTAGAAATTCAGGCAAAGTGTGCTTTAGGTAAATGGTATTTTCTTAATTCTCATCTCCCTCCACCACCATCACTCAAAACACACACACACACACCCCCCCCACAAAGCATCCGTATTGACTTATATCTGCTTTTCTCACTTGTTCTTGATTATGGGTTGTAGTAAAACTAAACTTAGCCACTACTTGGTATAGAATAATTAATTAAAAGGTTCAAAATAAAGTTAATTATTTCCCAAAGTCCAGAAAGCTTGCTCCTGGCCATTTTTCTGTTCGAGAGCATACTACCACTAAACAAATCAGGAAAGTGTTATCAAGTTTATCTAAATTAATTCATCTCAATATAGTAAACTAAATATACCTGAAAACAGCAAAATTTAAATTCATTTACAAATCAAATATTAAAATTAAAACACCACTTTTGAACAGATATTGATAATCTTAGGAACACTGAATCTTATTTTTGATCCCAAAGAAAAAAATACTGCAAGAATGGAATAACATTCTCTAAATATATGTTCTATACCTTCTTTAGAGCAAAATCACACATTGGAAATAAAAGAATTAAAATTAAAATTCCTGTCCTCCCTCTTAATTGAAAATATGCAATGCTCAGATATTCACATTAGACAACTGCCTCAAAAACTTAATGCTATCCAAAAAATAAACTTTTGATTATGACATTTCCTGCACTTTGATTTCTGAATTTAAGTGGTGTTAAGAATACTAACTTTGAGTATTACAGTAATGTTATAAAAGCTAGGATAAAATTTATCAGCTTCCTGTAAGATTTTAGAACATGAAGTACATATAACTTAAAAATGGCAACTGTTTCAAGGCTACTCCATACAACATTCTTGAAAATATTTAAAGAAAGCCCCATGGTTTCTTAATCTTCTGCTGGTGGCAAAAATGCTATGAAAGACACTATACCAAATTTTAAGAAAGAAAAAGGACTGTTCATACTTCTGCTTTAGCTACTGTCGAAAGCAGATGTGTTGTTTTCTTCAAATAATAGCTGAAATTTTGTGGATAACAGAGTTGTTTGCAAATTGATAGTAAAATAGATTCAGCTGTCATATTTTAATTTTAGTGCTGGTGTGCTTTAATAATTTCTGATTATTATATACACGTTGAATAATGACATTCCTTAAATTACCAGACTAATCCAACAGTATTTACCATCCATGCCAGGCTTTCAAATAAATATTTTACCTGGATTAGTTTTTACCAAATGTTGTAATCACAAAAGTGAACTCAATTTCTTTATATAAATTAATAGTCCACTTAATTTCCATGCTAATAGCAACTTACAATTCTTCCATGAAATGCAATATGTGAGGGAATTAAAGGCAAATATTCATAATGGTTAATCTTTCTTATATGTATCTTCTAGGCAGATTTATTTCTTTAGAATAAAGTCTGTCAGAAAGATAAATGATTCATAAAAAGAACAAATATTTAGTGCTGGAAAAATCTGGAAGTAGTACCTGATAATTTCCACTAAAATTCTGTCAAAACTGGAAGGAGGGAGTAGTGATCATGAATGGAAAGAAATTGCTCATAAAGGTTATAACAATACTTTTGAAACATTAAACATGACAAACATTTTTACAAGGCAGTCACTGAATAATTAGAATACAGAATAAGAAGTCAGAAGAGTTCTGTTGCTGAAAACAGTTATGCATTATGTTCATCCAACTGAAGATTAGTGCATTTAAAAAAAGTTAAGAAAAAATCTTTTATGTTCCAGTTCAGCTGCACTTGATTCAAGTGTTGCTCATAGAGGTTTGTGTTGTTATAAATTAAACATGCTGCTGCCTCAGCAGCTAAAGGTACTAGGAAAAATGTTCATGTCATAGAATAAATAGAGCAGTCTCTTTCAAGCTAAAAAGTTATCTCACGCCAATCCGGGAGGTCATCCACTCTAGACCTTGGCATAACCTACACAAAGAAAGAAGTATTTTTAAAATTAATGAAAGATTCACTTAAAATGATTTTAAATCATTATGAGTCAATGTGGGAAACTGCTTTACTTTCATCTTAAAGATACAGCTTTGGCAGTTTTGACATGAAGACTACCCCTCCCATTTAACTAAAACCACTTGAAAAAAAAAAAAAAAAAAATGGCAAGAACTTCACCTTACCCTCTTAAACTCTAAAGAATGAAATACCTACAAACAACCTTAAAATCATGGGTCAAAGCATTTCTATAACATATATATTATACTGCAACATTTCTAAGGAGAAAACGGAGAAGTTAGGTTGATCTGAAGAAAACCAAGTACCTAGATATAAACTATATAATCTACATATAACACACCTTGGCCTAATATCCACTTTCAAATTCTTAGAAAAGACTACACCACAATGGCATTTGTCTCAAATGTTTCTTGTCTAGAAACATTTCTTGTCTCCCAAAAAGGCTACTGATAATAAAGGAGATGTATACTTCTTGGGTATAAGTCCTTGCATAAAATGTATAATTTCTTTAAACATTCTGTTCCTTTATAGTTCAGGTGATATAACAGTTTTCTCTAAAAAAAAAATTATAAAAGTTAACAAATGAACAATAAAAACTTTGGACTGTGAAAATTTAATTCGAAACTTATTACTGTCAGACATGGTGAACCACACCTGCAATCCTGGTGACTCCATAGGTTGAGGCAAGAGGATTCAAGTTTGAGGTCAGCCTGTATAACTTAGCTAGATAGTGTCTCAAAATAAAAAATTATAAGGGCTGGGAATGTACCTCAGTGGTAAAGAATCCCTAGGTTCAATCTCTAGAATTAAAAATAAATAGATAAAATAAAAATTATTGTTTTTTTCTAGCTAAATATTATATTCATATTAAAAATTATTTAAAAAGTTATAATTTTGCTTACTAAAATCATTTAACCCTCTAAGTCTAAGAGATACAATATAAAAATAAAGATCCAAGAAGGAAACAGTTTTGCCTAAAAAAGTTGAAAGGACCCATATCTCCCCTCAGGTTGATTAACTTACCCTTCTCCTGTTAAAGCACAGCAAGACTGAATGTGCCATGGATGATCCTTAATTGAACTAAGGGTGAGGTATTTAGAGATTTCAGCTGCCGTCATACACCCTTTCATATCCTGTTTATTTGCAAAGATAAGGACTGCAGCTTTCCTTAAATCCTGCGATCAATAAAAAATCTCTATTATGTGAGATATTATTAGTCAAACTAAAATAATGAAGTAAGAGTGTAAAATATACTTATCAGACAGTTATAATGGAATGTCCCTACTTTAAAATGATCAAGCACTAATAATTAATTTTAAAATTTTCTTGAAATAAAAATAATCTCAATCACAATTTAATGGCTCAGTCTAACAAAGACAGATTAACATAAATCAGATAGTTAAAAGTTTTATTTCTATATTTGGGCAAATGGAGTTAAATAAAAAATAAAATATACAGATAGTCTTGGTGGTACACAACCGTAATTCCAGCTGCTCAGGAGGCTGGGGCAGGAGGATTGAGTTCAAAGGAGCTTCAGTAACTTAGGGAGGCACTGTGAAACTCAGTGAGACCCTGTCTCTATTTAAATATAAAAAAGGGATAGAGATAGGGCTAAGTGGTTAAGTGCCCCTGGGTTCAATCCCTGGTACGAGAAAAAAATAAAAAAGAAAATATACCAGATTCTCAAATACAGACATGGCTAAATTTCAATGTTGTGAAAAGAACTGCAAGTAACAAAAAGATATACATATTATAAGTATAAAAGGTTTAAAGAACATGGAATATATTTCCTACAACTTAAAGTACAGTAAAACACAGTAAAAGTATAAAAATAAGCAAAGAAATAACAATCACTACTTTTAGGATACTGGACACCTCTGAGAGAAAAATCAGATTAAAAGGTTTCTTAAGAATATTTGTTAGAGGGGAGTGACGGGAGGCGGGGGAGTATGGAAGTACGGAGTATGAAAGGACAGTAGAATGAATCAGACATTATTACCCTATGTGCATATATGACTACACGACTGATGTGATTCTACATCATGTACAACCAGAAGAATGAGAAGCTATCCTCCATTTATGTATGATGTGTCAAAATGCACTCTACTGTCATGTATAACTAATTACAAAAACAAAACCTTTTTAAAATCTAAAAAAAAGAGATGTTACAATGATCTCATTATTCATTAAATAATTTAATGATTATAAATACTTGGGGAAAGACTAAAGGTTTTATTTTTTCATCTCACTTATCACGCTTTATTCTAAGGCATACATAAGTAATTTCAACGTGGAAAAATCACTGCAGAAAGAGTAGTAGCCTATAAATTAATGTTAGGCTTTTACAATGTTTGCAAAAGTTAATCAAATTTTGATGTCAAGATTTTCAATATGTACTCATGATTTTCTAATATATTGGAATACTGGTTTTCAAAGTAGCTTCTAATTATCAATTGTATTTCAGCAATGACTGTGGTGATATTTCCTTTTTCACATCAGGAATTTTAGTAGTTTGAGTTTTTTCTCTTTTTCTTCATTAGCTTGGCTAAGGTTTATCAATGTTATTTATTTTTTCAAAGAACCAACCTTTTGTTTCATTGACTTTTTTGAATCTATACTCAAATAAAATAGAAAATCATGAAGACATCAACAAATTTCTAGAGACACATGACCTACCTAAATTGAATCAAGAGGATATAGAAAATTAAACAGATAAATTTCAAGCCATCAAAAGCCTACCAGCAAAGAAAAGTCCAAGCCTAGATGGCTAATCAGCCAAATTCTACAAGACCTTCAAAGAACTTAAACCAATACTCCTCAAATTATTCCATGAAACAGAAAAGGAGAAAACCCTTCCAAACTCATTCCATGAAGCTACTATCACCCTGATACCAAAACCAGACAAAGACACATCAAGGAAAGAAAACTTCGGACCAATACCCTTGATGAACGTAGATGAAAAAACTCTTAAAATAATGGCAAATAGCATACAAAAACATATATAAAAGATAATGAACCATGATCAGGTGGGATTCAATCCAGGGATGCATGGTTGGTTCCACATACAGAACCAAATAAACATAATATATTACATCAACAGACTGAAAGACAAGATCACATGATTATCTCAATAAATGCAGAAAAAGCATTTGATAAAATTTAGCATTCATTCATGTTCAAAACACTAGAAAAACTAGGGATAAAAGGAACATATCTCAACATTGTAAAAGCTACCTGTGCTAAACCCAAGGCCAATATCATGCCAAATGCAGAAAACTTGAATATTCCCTTTAAACTCTGGAACAAGACAGGGATCCCCTCTTTCACCACTCCTATTCGATATAGTCATCGAAACCCTAGCAGGGCAATTAGACAGAAGAAATTAAAGGAATATGAATAGGAAAAAAAGAGCTCAAACTATCCCTATTTGTCAACGACATGATTCTATATACAGAAGATTCAAAAAACTCCATGAGAAAGCTTCTAAAATTCATAAATTATTTCAGCAAAGTAGCAGGGTATACAATCAACACCTATAAGTCAATTGCATTCCAATACACTAATGATGAATCAGCTGGAAAAGACCTCTACAATGAAAACTACAAAACACTAAAGAAATAAATTGAAGAAGACCTCTGAAAAATGGAAAGATCTCCCATGTTCTTGGATAGGCAGAATTAATATTGTCAAAAAGGCAATACTACCAAAAGCGCTATACAGATTTAATGAAATTCCTATTAAAATTCCAATATTGTTGTTCCTAGAAATAGAAAAAGCAGTCATGAAATTCATTTGGAAAAATAAGAAGCCCAGAATAGCCAAAACAATCCTTAGTAAGAAAAGTGATGAAGGAGGTATCACAATACCAGACCTCGAATTATACTATAGAGCCATCGTAACAAAAATGGCATGGTACTGGCACAAAAACAGACATGCAGATCAAAGGAATCACATGTACAGTTTCCTCATACTTGACATAGATGCCATAAACATACATTGCAGAAAAGAGCCTCTTCAACAAATGGTGCTGGGAAAACTGGAAATCCATATGTAGCAAAATGAAATTAAATTCCTGTCTCTCGCCCTGCGTAAAGTTCAATTCAAAATGGATCAAGATTCTAGGAATTAGACCACAGACTCTGCGTCTAACTAGGAGAAAAAGTAGGCCCAGCTCTCTATCATGTCGGCTTAGGAACTGACTTCCTCAATAAGACCCCTAAAGTACAAGAAGTAAAATGAAGACTTAATAAATGGGATGGTATTAAACTAAAAGGCTTCTGCACAGAAAAGGAAACAATCAAGAACATGAATAGAGAGCCTACAGAATGGGAGAAAACTTTTACTACCTGCACCTTAGATAGAGCATTAATCTCCAAATAAGAACTCAAAAACTTAACACCAAAAAGCCAAATAACCCAATAAATAAAGGGGCAAAGGAACTGAACACGTACTTCATGGAGGAAGAAATACAAATGGTCAAAAAAATATGAAAAAATGTTCAACATTTCTAGCAATTAGAGAAATGCAAATTAAAACTACACTGGGATTCCATCTCACTCCAGTCAAAGTGGCAATTATCAAGAATACAAGTAACAAACAATTTTGGCAAGGATGTAGGGAAAGAGATACACTCATACATTGTAGGTGAGACTGCAAATTGGTGTAACCACTCTGGAAAGCAGCGTGGAGAGTCCTTAGAAAACTTGGAATGGAACTACCATTCGACTCAGTTATCCCACTTCTCTGTCAATAACCCAAAGGACTTAAAATCAACATACTACAATGACACAGCCACATCAATGCTTACAGCAGCTCAATTCATAATAGCCAAGCTATGGAAACAACCTATGTGTCCTTCAAGAGATGAATGGATAAAGAAAATGTGGTATATATATACAACAGAATATTACTTAGCCATAAAGAACATTTATGGCATTTGCCAGTAAATGGATGGAACTAGAGAATATATGCCTAAATTAAATAAGCTAGTCCCCAAAAATCAAAGGCTGAATATTCTCTCTGATATATGGGTGCTAACCCACAAGGGAGGGTGGCAGAGAAAGAATAGAAGTCCACTGGATTAGAGAAAGGAAGGAAATGAAGGAAAGGTAGGAGGAAAGAGAAGGACAGTACAAATTAATCAGACATCACTTTCCTAGCCTTGTATTTGAATACATGACCAAGGTAACTCTGCATCACGTACAATTACAAGAATAGGATCCTAATCAGAATAAGTTATAATCCATGAATGTTTAATATGCCAAAAGACAATCTACTGTCATGTGTATCTAAAAAGAACAAATAAATTTTTTCAATATGTAAAGTTTTTTAATGAAATAACCAATATCAATGCACACTAATCATTATAAAAAAGCAAAACCAATAAGAGATCTGACACCATTAGTTTTTGAAGATATGTTTTCAAAACTTACCTCATGAGCCAACATTCTGTATAATTCTTCTTTCGTAATAGCTAGTCGTTCCCTGTCAATACTATCAACAACGAGAATGATGAACTAGAAGACAATTAAAAAAAAAAAAAAAAGTTGAACGTGATGGTGAAAAATCTTCTAATTTACTCAAGTGATATAAGTAGCTTCTTCACATAGCATCGTCATTTCTATAAAATAGGTAGTGCTATTTTTAGTCACAAAGAACTTACAGAGTACTAAATGTTAATAACAAGATGATAACTGATGATTTCCATAAACAAAAACTGTAACCAAGTTTTTTTGTTAAAGTGCTTTTTGAATACATACTATGTGATATTTGCTTTTAAATGTGAATAAAATTGATTTATAAAAAGAAACAGTAATTTAAATAATATTTTCACTAAAACATTACTCTATTATTCATTTACTAAGTCAATAATCAGTTACATATTTATGAGTCAGTCTCCCACTTATTTGAAAGAAAAAGTTAAACACATTAAAAATAATACTAATGTATTGGGAAGGTTTGCATTTCTGAAATCACAGCTACTCCAGAGGCTGAGGCAAGGGGATCTCAAGTTCAAACTTTGCAAGATCCCATCTCAAAAAAAAAAAAAAAAAAAAAAAAAGTTTTAAAGGGACTGTGGATGTAGGTCATTCATGCATCATTTGCATAGTATGTGTGAGGCCCTGCGTTCTATTCAGTACCACATACAAAGAAAGTGCTAAACTGTGTTAAATTATATACATTGGTGTTAATATGCTAAAGGATCATGCAGGTGAGATGAGAAAAAGGCAAGAGAGCCAGGAAAACTGGAGTAATCCGTTGGTGAAGGTGTACACGAAAAAAATTTGGTCTTGCAAACAAAAATACAAGGAACTTCAAACAAAAATAAAAACAAAGAATGAAAGCAACTTTGCTGGGTAAAAATAAGATAGTAAGAATAGGCATCTAGCTCAAACACCTTATACAGAAGATAAGTTTGAAAAATGAGATTATATGATGCTAAAGATTATGTACAGTAAGATGGTGATCTAAAATAAGATAGAAAGGATGGAGTCAAGTTATAGAGATGACCTTAAAACTAGGGAGAGACAACTAGAGCAATCTAAATATAAACTGAGGAGGGCTTAAGACAAAAGCAAAGAGAAAGAAATACAGCAAAGGAAGAATGGACAGAATACTGAGAATTACATGTGAGTTAATGAGAGGAAGATGTCCGAAATTAACCAAAACCTATAACTCCTTAGATTATAATGTACCTTTTGGATGTCAGTCACCTCAATGCAAAGAATTTTCAAAAAGCAAGGGGCTGGGATTGTGCTTCAGTGGTAGAGTGCTTGCCTAGCATGTAAGGACCTGGGTTTGATCCTCAGCACCACATAAAAATAAATAAAGATACTGTGTCCAATTACAACTAAAAAATAAATATTAAAAAAAAAAAGCAAGATGACAAGAGTGAACAAAGAGATTAGTAAAATACCACACAGATCAGATCCGTATCTGGAATCTAAGAGTGCAAATGCTAGGTGTCATGCTGGTGTTGCAACAAAGGCCTTTATTTTTCATAGTAATTTTGATATTCTTACAGAAATAGTTTATTGAAAGAACATTTCATGTATATGGTATCAGTAATAACATCTTTTTCTGAACTAAGGTAAAGTCGCCTAGAGTTTCATCAATTTCAAAAACTACCCTTCTGAAATGTTTTAAGTACACTTGAAACATCTACAATTTGACCTATTTCTCAAAGGTGAACTGCTCTTTCACAGCTGAATTTAACTGAGCTTTGGAAAAAGTATGCTGTTGAAATAAGTTATATGCTGAAATGCTGTTCTTCACATACTCTCTAATAGATTCTAGCTTCAGAATGTTATTTTACTTACAAATGTATATTAATCTAACCTATAATAATAATATTTGCTTATCTACTCTTCTGCCTCTCCCTACCCCCCAACCTAAATAAAATAAGTACTACCACAAGTGCTGAATATTTGAGATAGGTCATCCTGGTTTACTACTTATACACTGCATTAGAATATATGCACACATACACTTATGGTATTACAATATACATATTTTTCTTAAAAAGGCAACTTTGCACACCAAAAATTCTTTCCATTTCACTTTCTCCCAAGTCCAGTTTTTAAAAGGCTTCATTTTAGAAAATAATTCCTTAGGAGTACCTCTTTGCAAAGAAAAATTACATGGATTCAATTGTATACTAGTATTTTCAAGATGAACCTCTCAACATCACTGCATGACTTTAAAGCAACAACAATAAAAACTTGGCCTCTAAGAAAAAATAAACCAGAAACTGTAGATATTCCAGATTTGTTCCACAGGCTATCTCTGAAGTAATAAGATAATTACAAATTGTGATAGAGAACTCTGAGGGATGGCTGCAAACCCATCTTTTTTTTTTTTTTTTTTTTATTATTACAATACAGTCTCACCAAAATTTTAAATATTCATTTGATGCTATTTGAAAATCTTATTTTAAATTATACTTTACTCCTTCCCTAATCAGGTCCTTTTTTATTTTTGCAAGATTTTGGAAAAAGTTGTATAATTTCTCCTAATGTTATATTTCTCCAATACTTGGAGATATTACAATATTGCTAAAAGAATAAACCGTGAGCGCCTAGTTAACAGTAAGCACTCAGTAAATAATCACTCCCAATACTCTTTTCCTTGCCTTTTCTATTTAAAAAATCTGAATTCTCTATAAAAAAAAAAAAAAATCAACCTTATTAAAAGATAACTGTCTATAATCCTAATTTACATTCTATTTTCTGTGTTTCTTTTTCTGGTTAAAATTCAGAAGTATTCTTGGCATACCTCTGTGTTTGAGTAATATGTGTTCCAAGATGACCGTAGGGACTCTTGACCACCAATATCCCACATAAGAAAATGAGTATTCTTTACAACTATTTCTTCAACATTGCTTCCTATAGTTGGAGAAGTATGGACCACTTCATTCATTAAGCTGTTGAAAAAGACAAACACTATAAAAACTCTTTTGTATATTTTGAGAAGAAAAGTAAGTTTTATCCCTATATTTTAAGAATGAATAAACCTTTCTCAAAATACAAACCATAAGCATAAAAAATAAAAACTTGGAGAACATTTGTGCCAATAAAGATCCAGACAAATGGGGGCTGGGGCTGTGGCTCAGCGGTAGAGCGCTTGCCTCGCACGTGCAAGACCCTGGGTTCGATCCTCAGCACCACATAAAAATACGTTAAGTAAAATAAAGGTATTATGTCCAACTACAACTAAAAAGTAAATATTAAAAAAAAAAAAAAAAAAAAAAAAGATCTAGACAAAGAACAAGTACTGAAGACTTTTTTGTTGTTGTTTTTTGGTATTGGGGATTAAGCCCAGAGGCACTTAATTGCAGAGCTACATCCATAGCCCTTTTTCTTTTTTTATTTTAAGATGAAGGCTCACTAAGTTTCTTAGGACCTTGCTAACTTGTTGAGGCTGGCCTCAAACTTGTGATCCTCCCACATCAGCCTCCGGAGTTGCTGAAGACTTGTTTTTTTAATAGAATGAAATGTAAACTTGATTTGGATAGAAGGGAACACTGTAGTGTGAGTCTGCATTTCTGTGGGAAAAAATTCATATACCACCAATTTTTTATTATTTAGATCAGAACCAATGCCTCATCCTCAACCAAGTTTCTAGGTGACTGACATCAATGTCTGCAATGGCAACCATTGGAGAGTACGCTATCCATACACATGGTGGCATATACCTGTAATCCCAGTTACTAGGAGGCTGAGGTAGGAGGATTAAAAGTTCCAGGCCAGCCTGGGAAACCTAGCAAAACCTTGTATCAAAATAAAAAATTAAAATAGCTGGGGATGTAGTTCCATGGCAGAAAACTCCTGGGTTTGATTCCCAGTAACAAACACACGCACAAACACACACATCAAAGGCTATGTGAGAAATTTAAGACCTAGGTCAGTCAAAAATTAGTGCCGTTGGGTACAGTGGCACGCGCTTCTAATTCCAGCAGCTTGGGAGGCTGAGGCACGAGAATTGCGAGTTCAAAGCCAGCCTCAGCAAAACAGAGGTGCAAAGCAACACAGTGAGACCCTGTCTCTAAATAAAATACAAAAACGGGCTGGAGATGTGGCTTAGTGGTTGAGTGCCCCTGAGTTCAATCCCTGATACCCGGCCCCCTCCCCGCCAAATCAGTGTAGTACAACCCAAATTAGACTTAAAAAGACCATGGGCAAATAAAAATCTTACTTAAAATGAACTGTATATTTATACTGTCTTAATAATCATTAAGTTACATTAATTATTTGATTCATCATGTATTTGCTGACAATATGACAAAGTACTGTGTTGGAAGCCCCAGTTTTCTCCTGAGTGTGTGTGTGTGTGTGTGTGTGTGTGTGTGTATTTGAGGCTACATGAAAGTTATAATAAAGAAGAGAAATTTCTTAAATATTTATATTTATTGTTTAAAGACTTTTTAAATATTAAAATACACAATGGCTAATGAATGAAAATGTGTTAAAAGAAGCAGTTACTGAACTCTGAAACAAACCATAGGTAGTAAGTTTTTAGCAAAGTAACTGAAAAATAACATGTATTGGTTAAGTGAATATTTCTGGTGAGCCACAGACTGATGCACATTTGTTTTTCTTTTGTGAGGCTGGGTTTTGAACCCAGGGCCTCCTGCATACTAGACAGGAGCTGTGCTGAACTACACTTCCAGCCCTAGACTCATATACTTTTAACACAAGATGTGGTGGGAAGATGTGAGAGCTCTGAAATCCTGTAAAGTACTTTATTATTACTTGTTAAAATGCTTGAGATCCGGATCCATTTCTGTAAGTTAACATCTCATTGGCACTGTAAGGATCACTGCATTAGCACTGACAGAATAATAAGAGTTACATGGACGATTGAATTGAACTCTTAATTAAATTTCCTTAAAGCATTAATGTATTACTCTTAAAGTTTCAAGTTTCTCCCTTTTGTGAACTAATAAAGCAATATTTTGATCCTCAGTACTTCAGACAAGTCTGGTTATGCTAATTAATTCCAAAGCTATTAGTCAGGAGAGTAGCAAGTTCCCAGAAATATCAAGCCTGGTGTGGAAAGGACTAAGTGAAATCCACTTTATCCACTTATCCAGTGCTATAATTTGTGTTTTATTGATTTTAGTTTAATATTAGTTCTTTCTTTTAAGGACAGAAAACAGAAAGTGCTTGTAGAAATATATATTTATCAAAACATGGCAACTTATTTTACTTGCTTTTTTGGTAAAATGCTGAAAAAACATATATTTAAGTCTTTCTACTATATTGAAAAATGAATAAAAATGGCATCTCATTCTTGTTAATTACAAAATGTTTGAATAACTAAAATACTAAAAACTATTAAACACCATACTTACAATTGATAAAGAATGGTGGTTTTCCCCGCATTATCCAGTCCCACTATAATTACTTTGTGTTCTACAGAAAGAAAGCAAACCATAAACATTTAATATTGTTGCATATTACAATTACATGTATTCATACAACAATTACACGTGTTCAACAATGATTATTACTTAGCCTATTAATGAAAATTATTTACTGTATTTCTACTTCTGAACTACTAAAATAAAGAAATAAACTTTATGATGTTAAAGACCTACCTTAAGTGAATCAACCTTTTAAAAGGGTTTCTAACTAGTTCTTTTGAAAAAGAATGTGGGAGATGAGTTAGTGAAAAATTTAGAAGAACCCGGTCACTTTGGGTACAAACATTAATCTAGACAAAACATGATTCTGCTTTACACAGCTACTTAAAGTCTCTGCTAATCAAGTTAGCTTTTTGTCAAGTTGTGTTTACTTGTGATTTTCTACCTACATGTACCAGGATACTTTTCTTCTATCTACTTAAAAATCATTACCTGAAGTACATATATGAAGACCTGAATGGTGTGAATATACTTTGTACACACAAGAGATATGAAAAATTCTATATGTGTAATATGAATTGTAATGCATTCTGCTGTCATATATAATTTAGAATAAAAAATTTTAAAAATCCTTCTTGTAGCTGAAAACTGCAATAATTTCTGTTACCAAGACACACATACTTTTAACTAGTTTTTCATTACTTCTACTAATTTAGAGAAATATAAGTAGTTACTAAGTCTTTAGTGTTTTTTTTCAATCTGAATTCAACAATTTTCTTGTGCAGATATTGTTTTTTTGTACAACAAAAGTCATTCAGTGCTTTTCTCCTTCTGGTGCCATGCACTAAGTAGTCACTTCTTTATAAGCAGTTTTTTAAGGCCTGTCTAATTATTCTGTTAAGTGGTACATAATCTAAGATCTCCTTTGAATGAAAAAGAGAAAACCCCTGATACCACACAGAATATATTAAAGATTTCATTAATCCAGGGCAGAATGCTTAGAAAGCAGGATATGTATGGAAACTGCCACAAGAACCAGAATACAAATTATTTCGAAGTCAACAATTTAGCACATTTTGTATCCTGTTTCTCTTGATAACCTCTGATGAGTGTCAAAATTCTGATAATACATTCACCTGAATTCAGGTTATATTCCTATTCTAAAGCCTTAATAATACTGTATCAGTCAAAAAAAAAAAAAAAGAGGACCAGAATTCATGGGCAAATTCTTGAGATCACAACGTACTTTTTGTATCTTCTAATGATTTATGCACTATACTGCCTGTAATGTTGCAGGACAAGTAGATGTGGTTCTCTGGAAAGGGTTTTTCATTATAGGAGAAGCAGCTTTGTAAAACAAAACTAAACCAAATGAAACTAGTTTATTTATTGTAAGTCACTATAATTCTTTTTCCATTCTTTTGGTTCATATCCCCTAATTTCTAATGGAGGCACTCTTGACATGTTGTGCTGTTTGTTCTTGTTTATAGTACAAGAACAAGAGCACTCTTAGCACAGGCATTTTAAATTCTGATAGTAGCTGAAAACTTTACCTGCTCAGCATCTGGAGACCAGTTAGAAGAAAGTCACTAATCTAAGGGTAAGCAAAACTTAAAAGTATTATGTATTTCTCTGAAAGTTTCAAGTCTTCTCTTTTGCAAGCTACCAAAGCAGTATTCTGACAATCATTACTTTAGACAAGTGATGCCATGCTACTCAGGAGTATCAGGGGAAGAAAATGGACAGACACTACCAAAATGAAATGAATACCTGGAGCCATTTTCTTTCCAGGGTCGGGGCAGGAGGAACCTGGGACTGAACTCAGAGGCACTCAACCACAGAGCCACATCCCCAGCCTTATTTTATATTTTATTTAGAAACAGGATCTCACTGAGTTGCTTAGTGCCTTGCTATTGCTGACACTGGCTTTGAATTTGGGATCCTCCGGTCTAAGCCTCCAGAGCTGCTGGGATCACAGGCCTGCACCACTGTGCCCCACCCTGGAGCCATTTTCAAACAATTCTGTTTCACATTTTTGATGATGATAACAACTAGAGTATTAAAGGCCTAACAGTAAAACTCATAAATCATGCATCATTTTGTAAGTTGGTCTCCCAAAGGTTGGTCTCCAAAGTGAATTAAGGAGTGACAAACCTTGAAGGTGAATAGCATATAGATTTCATTCAAGTTGTATAAAACTGCTTCTAGCCCACATTGACAAGGAATTCTGGCAATTAAAACACACAATTTCAACTCTTATGATGAAGGTACATGATTATCCTTCAAATAAAGTGAATTCTATCTTCTGATGTTAAAATTACCATCAACAATCTGAATCAATCTACAAGAGAACATCATCTATAAAGCAATACCTATGAGCTTTTAAAAAGCACAGAATAATGTTTTAGATCTTTGTTCTGAAAAAATATCTTTATCATCATGTGTACAGTAAGAATAAAAGCAGTTCAAAAGCCATTGATTAAAAACCAATTAAAAAAAAACTGCACTCTGTTGCATAAGAGTTGAAATTGTGTTTTAGGAAGCTACTAAATAATTGCTAATTGAGTATGCTGATGATCAGATTTCAGTTCATATATACAGGTTAGTAAAGTTTTTACCCATTCAAGGAAAAATCAATTTGCTGTCACAAAATACAAGGTGCCCATGCTCAGAGCAGGAATATTTGTGTTGGGGATAGGAATGTGAGTAAAAATAATTTTAGGTTAAGACTTTACTGTAACTATCAGAGGTACAGTAAATTAGAATATTTTCTTTAAAAAAATGTGTCTGCATACCATGAGATCATTACCAAGGACATCATTTCACTGGAAATAACTTCTCGGGGAATCTCAAGTTCAAAGCCAGCCTCATCAACTTAGCAAGGTCCTAAAGCAACTCAACAAGACTTGTCTCTAAATAAAATAAAATGTAAAAGAAGAGCTGGGGATGTGGCTCACTGGTTAAGACCACTGGTTTCAATCCCAGAAAAAAAAAAGGAAAAGAAATACCTTCCTGGAAACCAAATTGTGCTTCTTTCTCCAACAAGAAGCCAGGAGAGAATCTTCCAATGTTATTTATCTATGCATCTCCAGACCCCAACATAATGCATGTTTATTTATACTAAATGAAGGAAAGCTTCAATCTCAAAGTTTTAATTTTGATGAACTTTTTTGTATTCTTGGCTATGGTGTTAGTTCTTTTGGATTTCTTTAAAAATTGGTCCACTTTTTTATTTTGTAAGTAGTACAGAGACACAGACTACACACAATGAGGATCCAAAAGAAATTAATAAGACCCCTTGCTTGTAAATAAGAGCAGGTTAAAAAACAATGGCTAATAAAAATGAAAAAAGAAACTTCAAAGAAAAAAGTGGAATAAAAAAAAAATCGAAGAAAGAAAAAGTTTCTCCTCGATTTTTAAATTTTTAGTCAGTGGAAAAAGAATTTATACTTTTAGTATACAATACCAATTGATGCCCAATAGACTAGCACCATGGGTGCTAAACAGTAGTGGTATTAAAAATAAACTGTAAAATGTGTCAAAATTTATTTTATCATATTAAATTAATATTGTTAAAATAAGATCAAATGTCCAACTTCTCATTTTAATGTGTAAGAAAGATATCATGAAATAGGGACTGCTACATTCTAGGTATATCACATCTATCCCAATGCTGCCATTAAGTAGAGCAAGTACTATAGATATAGTTTGTAAACAACCATAAAACCAAACAAAGGAAAAAAAGAATCAAATTTAGTGATTTAGAAAATTTGGGATACTATATTTATAAAATATATGTTTCAATTATTGCAAAGGTGTAGACAGAAAAAAAGTTAGTAAAAAAGAGGAAAAAGTCTACATAGCAATGATGGCTGAATTTTGAAAATAAATATGCTCTCAAACCTTCTTTATCCCTGCTATATTAATTATAGAATCATAAGATGTTATAGTTTAGAATAGACTGTAGAATCTGAGAAATCTCTTTCTCTCACATATCTCATCTCCAAATGAACCTCTCCAAATATATCTCTAATGAACCCCCGCCCCGCCAAAAAAAAAAAAAAAAAAAAAAAAAGATCACAAAATTACTGACATAAGTAAAGCTAGAACTTATTTCTGTTAGGTTACACTATATTCACTTCCCTCTCCTTTTCTTTAACCACCAACAATAACCACATTTCTGGATGATTCAATTTTTTCAAACCAGCAATGTAGATATGATGATTCAACTATTCAACATGTATTGAGTTCACTAAATGCTTGACTATGTGATATTCATGATTAAATTGAACAGAAAAAGACTTTAACTCAAAGAATCTTAAAAGTAGGGTAAACAAGCACTTAAAAAATAGCACTATTAATATGAAGTAATAGATAGAGGTTTCACATGGTAATACTCTTAAAGGTAAAAAAAAAACCCTAGAGTTCAACTTTTAGCTAAGGAAAAAAAATGTCAATAATAAAAAGAGATACTAAAGATTGTCATTAAGTATTTTGCATACATAATCTAGGCCAATCTTTGTAATTATCCCATAAGAAAGTGGTATTATTTCTCATTTTACTGACAGGAAACTTGAGTCTTAGGCAGTTCACAGGCCTAAGGATACTAGCTTAATCTTCCAGAGGAAAGGAGTAGGTACCTTAAAGAAGATAAAAGTTATTTGTTTGTTTAAGAAACAAAACTTCACCAAAATTAACAATTTCTTCTCAGGACAATTCCCATTAAGAAAATGAACAGAGTGGGGATAGGAGTACACTTCAGTGGTAAAGCATTTGCCTAGCATGCTTATGGCCAGGGGTTCGATCCCTAGCATTGCATGGTGGTGGGATGGGGGAGGATAAAGTCACAGATTGGGGAAAAATATTCACGAAACATAAATCTGACAAAGAACCCACTTCAGAATATAGTAATAATTTCTAAAATTACACAATAAACAGATATATGTTGTTTTTAAATAAATAATGGATTTGAACTGACTTCAAAGATATAATATAAAATGGTAAGAACAAGGAAATTAACATGCCCAAGTCACCAGAAAAATGTAGCTT